CCAGAGCTGCATTGATTTCATCCACGCTTGTTGCCGTATTTCTTCAGATTCTGGCTGTGGCCCAGTTATACGACGTTCCCCACCTCAGTCCCACCTACAAAGGTACTAATTGGCTCAGCTACTTCTCCGACCGGAAAAATAGTCGTTCTTGAAAGGCCTTTGAATCTCTCCAACAAAATGTGAGAAGTAGTCGCTTATTCATAAGTCTGGAACCAGGCAAGCAAAAACACTAATGGTAGTGAGGACTGTTTATATATTCTCTTTCTAACAGGAAGCATACACACACACACACACACACACACACACACATGCTCAAAATTCAGTTTTTAACTGATGCACGTGCGAATGGTTTTGTCATTGTTTCATGTGCTCAGGCACACCGTGCACAGCGTGATCTAGTGTGCGTGTTGTTGTGGTGATTCAGCAGGAGTGTCAGGCCAGCATAGAGGAGGACGGAGAGACCTTGGTCATAGAGGGCTTCAGGTTTAAGAGTGCGGCCATCAGGGAGGACCTGAGGAGTCTGAGATCACCGGCTGGTAGAGGAGCAGGACACCAGGGCGACGCTTGAGCGATGGCTGCCTTAGTGGTTTGATCAAACAAAGTCAGCCAGGTCAAAGGACTGGCAGAGGTAACAATGGCGGACAGACGAGCCAACATATGACATGTTTTAAAATGATGGGAGAAAGGCCAACAACTGACATGTGTAGCTCTTTACAACAGAGAGACAAACACAGTATGACACCATGTTATATCGAGGACATAGACCATTTTAGAGGAGATAAGTGTTCCAATTGTTCCTAAATGTTAGCGTGAGACATTGTGAGTTATTTGTTCATTGTTGCTTGTTTGCAGATAAATCATCTTTGAGAACATACTCGTTTGACAGTTTTGAATTGCCCTAACTCAAAGTATGCATGTATCAGTGTTGCATGTATCGTAGTGCTATACTATATAGGAGAGAGTATTACAAGGTAAAGTTGGAAATGGCATTGTTTAGGATAATGGGGATGACTTTGCATTATTTATTTCACTGCTCTTGTGCAAGCCAGCATGGTACGTTTTTTGCAGTCTCAGCAGTGTGATCCATATGGAACAGTAGCTCACCAGCTCTTCATACTGTTATGTACTTATTTCATTTATTGCATTTATGGTGTGCGACGCGCACACACACACACACACACACACACCCCTTCAATGTCCGTATACATCAACACACCGTGTATGTTAGTTGGGGACGTAGCTTTCTGTTTGGTTACACAGAGCTGTTGGTCTATTCAGGGTCCTTCCTGTTTGGACCTGATTGTAGATCATCTTACTCCTTAAAAGCACCTCTAGTGCTCTGAATATAGCAACGTCTCACAGCCCACCATGCTTTTTAGTGCAGCTGGCTTGCAGAAAAACAGTATAATAAATACATACGACAGTGTTATACTTTGACATCTGAAGGTCGATAAGAAATCTTATAATTGAATAACCTGACGTCACAACCTTTTAAAGCTCATAAATACAGTTGACTGCATTGGAGGAGGATTATGACGGTATAGTCTCTCAGTCTTCAATATGTCACTCTTCCTCAGTCCACTATTTGGGAACTCTTCCTCATTGGTGGTGGTTAAACTGATATTAAAAACATGGATTAAAAACATTCATAAACAAGTGATACTGTGTGCATTACATCATAGCATCGATTCACAGTATTTGATGATACATGCCATATTTTAAATATTGTGGTACTGTTGTATCAACTCTAATGGGGGTACAAAAGATACCTGGTCAAATTAGTTGGTGAAATTGATTACTCTAAGCATTTTAAATTTGTTTTTACCATTTTTCTAATTTAAATTCTAGTGCAGTCTGCAGTAGAAATGACAATATAGCAAATGGCCATCTTATAAACGTTGACCTGATTGTGTCAAGAGAAGCCAAATGCAGTATCGGTGACAACAATGTACTCGTACTCGTCATGACTGTGTACATCCCTCTACTGTATATGTTAGGAAGATATTCTGTGCTGCCATAGCCTGCCATTGTAATCACAGAGTCAGCTTCGTTTTGTTAGCCTCACACACGAGTAGCGTACTAGAATCTCATGACCAAACTGTAAAATAAATCCCTTCAATGGTGAAACATGAAAACAAATCAGTCTTGTCTCTCCGTG